GATAATTATAACACTGCTAATAATCATTACATACATAATATTTAGAGACGGAGTACGCGGAATATCCGAATATGCTTCAATACGTGTGCAACTTTGTATTGTCAAAACAATGATCGCGTGTGTACAACGTGATGCCTTCGTGCAATCTCTCCTGCCGCGCACCAGGAGGATTATTTGTATATTTGCCAGTGGCGTTGGAGGGTGTCACCGCTGCATTCCGACCTGCGTCCATCGAGTAAGAGACCAACATCGCTTTGGAATATCGGTTGTGAGGATTCGAGTATGTACATGTATATATGCGTATTGTAATACAATATATGTATATATGCGTATGACATTGGACTGTTTAACGTATTGTTTTAAATACGTTATTGCGACGAATATAATCACATGCCTCTGTAATCGAAAGGATAAGATGCCTGTAAGCAGGAGAGATCCAGATTCGATTCCTGGCCGAGGTGATATTTTTCGCAAAAATAATAATTGTGAATTTTCACCGACCGGTTCGTGGTCGGACCGCGCCGTGACGCACACCCTCCCTTCTTATTTGGGATAATATTGTTTATTAATCCTTAGTGGCTTATGTGACTAACACCACATGTGGCTTTACATAGGACTTTCGAGTCGGCCCTTTTTTCATGTCTTTTAAAGTCTTTTGATTCGAAAAATCTGTAAAAATTCACAGATATACTTTCAAATTTCTAGAACAAATATCTGTACTTTATTGTGCAAGAAACTAAAATGTAGTATATTAGTATTATCCTCCAACATGCTGAGAAACTTCTATAAATAGAAACCGAATTCGAAATACCCATGTAGGGCCACAAAAGGTTAATAAAATATCTTCAGATATATGTATATATTAAGCTGTATACATATTAAGTACATAATATTAAGTATACATAAGTGCAAGTAATATACTTCTAAGATTTTTTATTATATTTTTATATAAATATCTTTGTCAATAAAGATATATATATAATAGATTTTTTGTAATAAAAAGTAATTCTTTTTATTCACCGCAGGAATAACTGAGCCGCACACTTGGGTTCAATAAACCCATGAGTCCGAGCTTACTACATTGCAGGGCTCACACACATTTACATATCTTATGCATACATATTCAACGGGCGATAATGCAAAAATTATTTGAGGGAAAGTAAAAAGATCTAAGAATACTAAGAAGACTAAGAATTAGATCTAGTCTAAGAAGAATAAGAATATGATTCACATACGTCTTTGATATAAAAGCACAATAAAAGCACAATAACGAACGAATTAAAGATTGTTGTTTTCTATTTAAAGCTTTTAAAACTAAAAAAATATATTTATTTTATACATATGTATTTATATAAGTATATTTTATTTGTCTCTTTCATATTTTTCTTGTGCATGCTCAAAATTTTTATCTTATATGCAAAAAATATGAAATATGCAACAAAAAAAATAAATTTTCTATTATTTATTTATTAAGAGTGTAATAAATCTAATAATGCAAAATTGTTAAATAAGGATTACAAAGAATGAAAATAATAAGCGTCAAATAAACAAGTTTAAATTATTTTAAAAATATGCATAAACAATACATTGAAATTATGAAATAAAAATTTAAATAACCGGATCTTTGATAAGAGAATTAGATTGAGAGAAAAATTCATGTTACACATCAATTTTATTTTGATGAACACACATGTATCATTATATCTATCAGTTAAATATTGCAAATTTAAGAATTTAGTTGATTGATTTCGCATTTATTTAGTTGATTGATTTCGCATTATTTAATTTCAAAAGTTCATATCTCATTTTACATTATTTTTTATTACATTAATTTTATGGCCAATTTGGCACACATTAATGGATTGATCTGAGTTGATTTTGAAAAGCTCTGTAAATTCTATTCGCAATTCTCTCATTTCTCACGATGTGTGAATTGCTAATAATTACGAGGAGCATCAGTATCACGGTCATTATTACGACGTAGTCTACAAGACTCATTGTTTTTTATTACTTACTTTTTAACATGTGCGAATCACGATTGCACCTTGCGAGTAATAATTCTTGCATCAAGTATTTTACCGCGCGTAAATAACTTCACTTCTTTATCATGTAATTATGAACGTGTGTAGATATTATTATATTTGAGATATATGAAAATTACAGTAAATTAAGTAGTGAAAGATTAGACTAATTGGATATATAAGAGATCAGTAAAGTATGCAGTCAATTACTATGTCAAATACTTATATTATTTTTCCCACGAGATAACTTTCTTTTAAATACTTCTTTTTTTAAAGAAATATTCTTTAATATTTTATTCTACACATTACTTCCGGGTACTCCAGGAAAAGCTGATGCTTAACAAACATATTTAAATTAATTATTAATTTAATACATAAATATTTTATTTTACGTTAGTTTATATTTTTTAATTTATATATAACGTTTTCTCTAGAATTTTACTCATCCGTCTAGTTTCAATCTTCTTGCAACACATAACTTATCTCTGTTGTTTTGAGGTTTAATTTATTCATAGACAGACGAAGAAAATGCGTCATCGAATCGTATGAGCACGGTTACGCGATGTTTATCTTAATTGCGAATGCTAGAAACATTAAATGCTCTATAAATAGTAATAAGTATCACGCCTAGGTCTAGCAAAATGCAAAAAAATCATTTATTATCTTATTAATAATTTTAACAATGTCTTTTAACGACACTGCACACGCAATACTTTCCTCTAAGATACTCTTATGAGAATGGAGATTTTAAATCTGACAAACATAGATTCTACATAAATTAAAAGCTCGCTTTTATTTCTATAATTTATTTATCAAGTCAAAATCTAGTAAAATATATAAATCAGTCAATTAAAATTAATAACTATTTTCCTCGTTTAATTTACTTACATTTATAATTAAATGTCAATTAAAAAAGTTGAACATTACAATATATAATCAGAGAAATGAAGTATTAAACATATTAAAAAAATATTCGTAAATATTCTTCTATGAATGATTACTTTAATATCTGCCTCAACATTCCGCAACATGACGCAATAAGCAGACTCCCTAGAAATCACGTCAGTATATTATGAATCATATCCCATAACTTTTTCTGTTCCATATAAAAAGATAAAGCGTCATAAGAGTTTACCCTAAACTATTTCAGCAGTCGCAAATAGTCATCCTACGAATCTTTAGCCAGATATGATCCATGTGTCACGCGATGTGGAGCGACCTTTACTGCGAATCCCGTAACGATCGTCGCGTTGAAATCTCCACATTGTCCCATTTACGCTCAAGGCAGAAAAACCACAGACTCTGGTTTAGATCGTTCAGAATCTTTAATCTTTTCACATTTTTATTCGTAGATACAATAAAAAGTACATGCTAGGAAATTGCAAACGAATGAATCCACGATTCCGAGTGGAAGTCTTATCCGACAACAGCGTGTTGTCCGTGGAACACAAACGGGCAAAAAATCTTGCGTAAAATACGCTGACGTTCGAAGACGAGCATATCGTCGTTAAAATTTTTCTCTTTCTCTCCCTCTCTCACACAATGTTTTCTACTTTTAGTCTCTCAAGATCGTTATCACTATTTATCACATCTTACACAAGGTAATACAAACATGTGACGTAATTGCGATTTAATAACCGACAAATTTCGGTGCAGTTATTAAAACAGTAGCTTAAAAAAAGCTACGTACATTTCTCCCTATGGTACTTTTGGTCCTCGCAATCTGTATGCATTACAACTATCACGCTAAGGTCGTATTGCAAATAACGCGGTTTTCTTGCGGTCTAAGATGACGCAATCGATTGGCAGCGAAAATATCTTATAGACGAGTACACGAGAATAATTCGCGTCAGAAAGATATGTTTTAAATTATATACTGGACGGTACAGGAATCCCTCGACTTTAATTTCGACGACAGAATGAATTTGGAGTCAAATTTTTCCTCTTAAGCAAAAATTCCAAAAAGACATCAGTGGTTATTTTTTTCAATACAAAATATCGATCGTGTTTGATTTGTCAATTGTACAGAAATTCAATTATAAAAAAATCGAATTAACGAAATACCAATTGAAAAAATGAACCAGTTCCTATCTTCACCATTGAAACTGAAGTCGAGAGTTCTAGGACACGCTACATAACAGCTAACGGAGATTCATATGTGACGTCAAATCACGCACTTTTCTAATGTAGCCTCTTCTCCCTTAATTGACGTGTAGGGAATAGCAATGACGCGTACAGCATTCGTAAAGTGCTTGTTCTGTCGAATGGATAAACGTTCGCTGAAAACGTCGCGACAGGTTCGTAACGTGCACGTCACAAAATAAATTGCAACTTCATTCGGTCATTTTATGCAGACAAGCAACGGAAATCGCTTAATCCGATGTTAACAATTAGATTGCACGCTGCACTTTTTTTCAAGGTCATCACGACCGACGAACCGAATTCTCGAACGTGACTATAAGAAGGAAATAAAAGTCGATACTCTTTGAGCAACCGGCAAACTATGAAAGATAATATAACTGTCTTTTATAGTTATACTAAAGTAATTGTTAATAAAGCGATATGAAAACTATTCGATTCACTAACGTAGTGTTGATGAAATTCTGTCTTTGCTTTTTTATACATGAGAACAAGACTGAAAAGAATTGTCAAATATCAACAATATAATTCGAGGTTTACATCTTGAATTAATTAAAAATTATAATATTAAATTATATTATCTTAATTAAAAAAAAAGATGTATGAAATAGTGATAGCTGAAAGAAAAAAAATTAACTTGCTTTCAATGGTTTTAAAAGCAAAAGATCTTTTCTTTTTTTCGCGTCAATTGTTTGAATGAAAAAAATTTAATTAAAATCAGAATACCCTTTATATATCTATTACATAATGAATGCTGTGAACAATTGAGCTAAATTTTATCCACATTCGCGCCCATACTAATAAAATTATGTTAATATCATATTTCGAGCTAATTTCTTCTTCGAATGTTGTCTCTCTACATTTAGTTTCACATACTTAAATATTCTAGATATAAAACTATTTCAATAAAAAATCTCATTCATATGAGACTGATTGTGAGTATAAAATTATTGTATTAATCTTTTCCAAGACTTTATTAATATATCATAAGATATATTGATTGAATTATCCACTTGAGCAAAAACAACTATGGATATACATGCAATATAAATCTTTTTGGTAAAGAATGATAAAAATTAGCAGCTATTTATATATATATACATATATATATACATACATATATAAATATATACATATATATGTATGCATGTATGTATGGCTGTATGTATATATGTATTAAGCATATTAAGCATATGTCTAGAAATAATCGCTTGGGAAAGATTAATTATTTTAAACATGGTTCAGAATATTCTTCTAACTTTTAAATAAACAAATAGTTAAAACAAAATAGCAATGATACAAACAAAATTAATCAATAGAGACGCATTTCTTTGTATTTATTCGTACGCAGTTTTTAAAAGTTAGAATAAATTCTACATATTGTTTATAGAAACAAAATAAAAGTCCAATCTCAATTCCTTTCGCATATATAATATATAAGGCTGCATGTCGTTACAATACATGGTATACGAGTTATGTCTATAACTAAATCCTAGTGCGAAGATATTCGCAAGAACGCGCAAAAGATAAAGAGAAGCGCGCCGCGAGGTGCGAATCAGTCCATGTATTTAAACTAAATAATTCTCATACTATATATATGTATGTATATATATATATATATATATATATATATATATTAATATATATAACCAGCGCAAGCTGCATGTCTAAGATCTCGGCACTTACCGGACACGGACTTCGACGGTATTACCCTTTTCTTCGTGAACTCCATAAGAAAATCCTTGTAGAGAAGCGAGTCCATATTACTCGAGAGGATATAAAGTATCCACCAGTCGCCAAGGTCAACCTTTTTGCTGACACTCTGGCAAATCTCGATAGGTAACATTCTCGTCGAGAGGTGCAACAGTCTTGCTCGTATCATCGGCGCGGAAATAATCACCACTCGATAGATCAACAGAAAGACTAACATGATGGCCAGTATGAAAAACCAGAACCAAATGAAGATGTATGTTTTCTCATTGACGATGTTCAGCGGCAGAATACAAAGAGAATCGTGCTGTTGTATCGTGCCCGAAGCTCCGTATTTGTGGAATATACATTTGGTAACACGAGGAAACACATAGACCATGGGGTCGATTCGTTCTTCCTGTGGCGTGTCTGAGAATTGCAGTACTCGTAGACCATAACTGAGAAATTCACCATCGAAGAATCGATTCATCAAATAAAGTTGGCCGACTATGTTGATAAGACACAGAATCTCGCAGGCGAAGTACCGATACACGTACGTGTTGTGACTCTGTAAGCACAATTCATCGTTGAATTAAGGCAAATTGGACTCAACGAGGACGAATTGGACTTAACGCGGTCGTCTCCCTCTCATTGTATATGCCCCCTTTGCCTTCTTGGTCGTCCTCCAACATTCCGCTTAAGCGGCATCGCGACATCTAGCATAATCTATTTATCAAGTAAATGTAGCATGATGCAACCTAGTTTCATTATTATTAACATTATGTCTAAGAAGAATTTAAATTAAAATTTACTTACGTTATAAAAAAAGTTCAATCGCATTCAAAAAGAATTTAGATTTGAAATCACTACGTATTTTACAAAATCAAAATGTTTATAAAATCTTATGAGATGAGATCATACTTATCCTTGAATAATAGATAATTAACTCTGGTATAAGCACTGCTCTTTTTAATAATTAAAATTCCATTATCTGTAAGGCTGAATCTAATCTTCCAGGATGTTTTGAAAACATTCTAACGCGAGAACACGATGGCTAACGATAGTCGTGACAAGTGCGATGTTATTGAAACATAAACCAGTGATTATCAGCGACCACCAAAAGTGATGAGATACCAATTAAATGAATCAGCTTCTATCTCTTCAAAACTTTTCCTTACTAATTGCCTTGCTAACTTTTATCTAGTTGAAATTTCTTCAATTAAATTGATTAGATAAAGATAAAATTGATTTGCTCGCATTCTTACCCTTATGTGCAGTATCAAGTATTCCATAAGGGTATTTTTCTTCTTCGCTATATTTTCCTTACTGTCCATGCCACAATTCATTCCCATGACCAGTGCCTGCATCAGGCCGCCTTCCCAGAAGCTCCATAGCCATTGCGGTATGTAACACAAAACCGCCTGCCGACAAAAAAAGGGATATTAAATAAATAAATAAATAAATAGATAAAATTAATATATATTAATATATATATTAGTCAACTCTGCACAATATAATTATACAAAATCTATCAAGACCGTGGAAGTGGACTCACAAGTTGGATACCATCTTCTTTTGCAGTATTTTTATATTGAGGCGCAAAACCAGAAGGTGTTTGAAAACAGAGTGAAGACTTACTTATCCCCCTTTTCAAACAATCCGTCTCTCGCAATTCTAATTATACTAATCTTCGGCGGACGAATGTTAGGACGACCGCGCGACCTCCCACGCACGAGTCGTCCGCACGTGGGTCGTCGCAGTCGACCGCCAGACATAAAGGGTAAGCATGGGATCAGCGAAAAGACGAGCGGACGAGCATGAAGAAGAGATAACACCGAGGAGACCTCAAGTCCTTCTTTTTGCGCGTACGCCGCTCGTCGCACGTGTGCCGAGATCGGCGATAGGGAGGAAGGGAGGGGGGGGGGGCATGCTTACCTGGAAGAACAGCACAAAACAGACCCACTGATAGTACGTGTAGTATTTCCTCGCGTCGACATCCCCGAAGTCGTTGGCCACTCCTGGATGGGCAATCTCCAGGCCGATCTGCGGAAACACGAGACTTGAGCTATGCGACGATGATAACAATGACACCACGCTGTGTGCATTCGACGCGCGATAAAATCATTTGACCCTCCTTAGATGTCGATAACGAGAAATCTCGCCCCTTCCCCTTCACCTCCCCCAGATTGTTTTATTAGAAGTCAACAATGGCATTTATAATAGGCCTTCGCAGTTGACACTAAGCAGTGTCTCTCTCTCTCTCTCTCTCTCTCTCGCGCGCGCGCGCGCGCGGCTGAAACGCTTCGCAAGCGTTTTCTCGATGAGAAACCATTTACGCTTGGCAAAACAATTCCGAAGGATGAAATGCGCGCGTTGCACGCAATTCATTTACAGGAGGAACACGCAACGTTGAAAATACTACGAACTATATTTTTTTTTCTTTATATTAACATTTCTTCGATCACGATATCATGAAAAACGAGCTATTCTAATGAGGTTATTAAAAGTCGATACGTCACGATGCCTATTTTCTTGATATTCCCGTAATTTATGTATCTTAAGACTGGTCTTGTGGTTGAATTAATCAAACGAGGTGGTGAATATAATTTGTTAAAAATTGCAATTATATCGATCGCAGCAACGAATATAAAAAAAATTTAACTTCCTGCAAAGGTGATCGAGAGAAATCTGCACAGTAATCAATATGATAATTTTTATCGCCGTTTTTTCCATTCGCAAAGGCAGCTGCAATTTACACGTCTATAAATACGTTGACGACCAAATTTCAAAGTACAGCTCGCAAGAGAGTTATTGACAAAAACACCAGGAACGTATACTCACGTCTATGTTAATCCTTTTGGTTTTATACGATTTCTTTAATATTTATACGCATAAATTTTAGTGCAATTAATGTAATACATACAAAGAAGATATTTCATTGATTTTGCATCGATCTCTCTACATTATTATCATAATCATTACAATTATTATTATATGAAGCAACATCGTGCGAAATTCAAATTTATCTCACATATTTCAATTACACGATTTCCAACATTTCCAACATACAGATCTTAGATCAATTATTTCCGCCCCATTAGCCATAAACCAGCCACTATATTTATCTTTGCGCATCTGCTCTTCGAAAAAATTGCTTTCCGAGAAAAAATACTGACTTTCATATTTCATTTGTGAAATTCGAATAACACTTCGAATACTTGATTTTAAATTATCGACAGTAATGAAATTCGCGCAACCGTTTATTACGTTTACCTTCAAAATTCACGTATGAAAGGTGCTCGATACACGAAATCGTATATCGATTCTTTATCACGTATGGAAATCGAATACTGATTACGGTACTTGTTGCCGACCTCCTATTGGATCAAAGCTATAAAACGTGACAAACCTCTCTTAACCACATAGCAATATCACATATCGAAAGCAATATTATATATGGAATGATGTAATACGGAAGTTGCGATATATCTCGAGCTAGAACGGCTAATAATCTAGAATGGCTAAATAATAAACTGTCAAACGAGTATGGAGTGATTTTGAAAAAATGTACAGCTTTCTAGAAACTACTGATAGAATTACATTTGTGCCCAAAGCTCCGGTTTGATAAGTCGTCAGCTGACTAGTCAGTATTCAATCAGTATTTGATTTCCATAACTTTGCGATATATAGTGTTTCGCATATATAACTTTTGCGCGCGAATGTCAATAAAATAGATAGAACAACGTCTATTGTATAACAATCAAGGTAATAGATATTGCGCAAGATAAAATATGGTTAAATATTTATATACTAAATGAAAAAGTTATTCCGAGGCATGTCATAATTAAATTATAAGTATAAGATAAATATATATTTAAAAAAAATATTAAAAACTATTAAAAAATATTAAAGTTTCTATATAACTTTCTAAATAATTAAAAAAAAATGTATTATTATCAACGCAGTTATATAATCAATTGGTTCATTAGTCGTTCTTTTTGTCATGAAACAACTTTCACAGGATATTTACAGAGTAAATCAACACACAATGGCCATGAAGACCTTTTTATAATTTTTAAATAATCTATTCGCAAACAGAAAAATATCGTGTAATGATTCAGTCAGGAATTCATCGTAAATGCGATGAAACGCGCTATTGTAATACAGTAATATTAACTATACTGTAGTGGTATTAATCAGATTAATTTTTGTTAATGAAATACAGAGTTAGAAAATTAGTGATTTGTGAGCGAATTAAAAATAAATTTAAACAGATATTCTAACAGATCATCTTGTTATCATATCTTACTGGGAAACTTTATTTCTATCAACAGTAAATTTTTTGTTTATGATCCGTAGTAGTTTTCCCGCCAATATTCATAATAGATTTGTGATAGGAAATTTTATTCTCGACAAACTTGGCTCGCATTTAAATGTATGACCAAATGTAAAATAAATCAGAATGTAAAAGAAATATCCTATCCTAACAGAAATTAAACTAACGTTGCAAAAGTAGTCCTCGTTCGTGCTATGTTTCATTGACAAACTTATAAACAAAGATCTTCTTTGATGTCGTTTACCTTGACACATAGAGATTTTTTTCTAATGTGCAAATAATTTCAAACGATTTTATCATAATTACTGTGACATTCTCGATCTATAATGATCCATATTGATTTGTGTGTGAGATTGACAGAGAGAGAGAGAGAGAGAGAGACACACACACACACACACACACACACACACACACACACACACACACACACACACACACACACACACACGAGAGAGAGAGAGAGAGAGAGAGAGAGAGAGAGAGAGAGAGAGAGAGAGAGAGTCAAAGAAGAGTGGGAGCGATTATGCTCGTCGCGAACATCAGAATATACGATCGTTACAATCGAAAATCACACACCTGTCGATTGAACGCGTCCGGCATGGTGAACGTGGACGTTATCCAGCAGTAAGTGTTGATGACGTGCGTGGGTAGGCCCTGGACGATGCAGGAGATCGGATTACCGACGTACTGGGTGGCCGTGATCAGCATCGAACATGTGAACAGCAACACCGTAGTGAAGTGGTTGTGCATACGAAACACCATAGAGTCCGTGACGATCTCCTGCCGTTTCAGGTACTTGGTCAGCCCTCCCAGTAGCTTGTGCATGATCGCGGCGGTGTCTTGTTATCCGAGTCACGACGAGGAACGACGTCCACGAAGGAGGACAACGACGAGGATCAACCGCGTCACCTCGGGCTGCCGCCGTCGTTGCCGTTGACGCCGCTCCCGCTGCCGTTGCCGTTGCCGCGCGCCGGCCACTTCCCACGCCGACACCACCAACAAACACGTGTGATCCTCGAGGAAAGCGCGCGCGAGGTCACCTCTCTTCTTCCGAGGGATTACGAATTTTAACGGCGACTCACGCGCGACCACGAGGACGTACCGTCAACCGGCACTAACGAGCGTAGTTCATCCACCACGCTCTCGCGCGAACGAAAGCAGCAAAACGAAACGAGAGAGAGACACGAGCGTGCACGGTGTCCACGCGGCGTGCCTCTCTACCTCTCCCTCCTTTTTTCTCCTCCTTCGCCCGTCTCGCCTTCTCTCTGGCGCCGAGCCGCTTCGCTTTCCTGCTCTATTGCCCCCTCTCTGTCACTCCTTCCTTCTCTTTCCCGCCTTCTCCCTCTCTTTCTCTCTCTCCTTCGATGTCCTTCTTTCACGCGGTCCTCTCTTTCTCTGTAACCCTCTATCCCCGCCGGGGGTCCTTCTTTCTCTCGACTCTCCGTGCGAGATCGGTCACCGAACCACGCTGGACGAGTTCCCGACGAGTCCTCGACGTGTTCCAGTTCCTCCTGCGGCGAAGAGATCGGCGGCTCGAGCGCCCGCGTGAATCGTTTAGCGAGCTGGCAATAGAAGCGCCGTTGCGCGGAAAAAAGGAGAAGGATGAGGAAGAAGAGGGGGAGAGCACGAGGTGCAGGTCGCGTCTTCCGTTTTCTCGAGTCCTTCCCAGGAGAGATCGCTTCCGCGTCTTAGCCTCGTCGTGATAGCTCCTTAATTTTCTCTTTCCCCCCGCCCCCCTCGCCTCTTCTCGATGATTATCCTTTCCCAGAATCTCTTCTGGGATAAATTATTCGAAAAATTTCTCAGTTATTTCCCAACAACTAGACCGGTGTTCTTCTCGAATAAATTCTTCAGCAATTATCCATAGAATTCGCGTGTTCTGTTAGCACCTCAGCCGCGTAGACACGTAGACAAACATGATGTTCTGACTTCCTGCGATCCTGCCGACTTCCTTCTTCCTTGGCGTCCCGATTTTTCAACCGATTACTCTCGATCCCAACGATCCCTTCGCGTTTGCGGGATTAAGGACGCGGGAGAGCTAAGGCCGCGAGGAGCTTCGTAAGCGTACCCTTCCCGAGGATACGCTTCTTCCCCCTGCCTCTCCTCTCGTTTCCCTTCGATATTCCCCCGTTGAAAACTCGAGCCACGGTTGCGAACGCAATGCGGCCGTACACCGCCGTCGCGTATCGAGGAAGCGACACTAACTACCAACTGTCAATCGCACCCGGCTCCCCCCTCCCCTCTCTCTCTCTCTCTCTCTCTCTCTCTCTCTCTCTCTCTCTCTCTCTCTCTCTCTCTCTCACTCCCTTTCTGCAAAGCCTTCCCCTCCCCACGCGAGCTCCATGCACGCACGATGCGAAACAAAATTGTGCAGCGACGAGGCACGTCGCTCTACGGTGCCCCGTCTTCTGCTCCTCTCTCTCTCGTGGAGGAAATAAATCGCTGCCTCCTCCCTCTCTTCGGATTTTTTTTTCTCACAGAACTACCGTGAGACAATCGCGGCATGGAGTACCGGCGTGCGTGCGTGCGTGAATATCTCTACGTGCATACGCACACGCGTGGCGATATTTTGAGCGGCAACTGACGAGAAATCGCGGTTGTTTGTTGTATCGTTAAGGGGGAAGGGGCGACCATGAAGGGACGTAGGGGACGACAGGGGGCACAGCGAGGGTACCAAGGGACCGACAGAGCGGCGGATGAAATGGCAGAGAAGAGGGGGCAGGGGGAAAAGGGGGAAGGAGGATCAGTCTGTGTACGGAAAAGGATACCCAACAAAGGAGGGGGGGGGCCGTCTCGGCGCGGCCGCTAATACGCTATAGTACGCGCTATCTGTGCTATATAATGCGTGCTATACGCTCTCGTTCGTCTATCCGTCCGTCCGACGCCACCACCGTTGCTATAATGATCCTTTTTACAGCGGCATTCGGCTCGGGAATAGGGGACGACCCCAATATTACTGGCGCGCATATGTGGGGTGGCTGGCGTACCCTCCCTTTCTCCTCGTCTGTCTCCCTTTCGGGAATACGCGAAGGGAGCTCGAGACCCGGGAGATTTTGTGGTCGGGCCTCCTCTGATCATGTTGCATTTCCAGGAAGAGAGGAGAGGGCGTCGAGATGCTCCTCCGCTATACCGCCAGTCATTCTACTACGATAGTTTCGTGGTATGATGCAACATTACAGCATGTGACTGTTACAATGATTCTTACAGACATTGATTACTATGCTTCAGCTATGAAAGCGATTTCCGAGATGTCTCGGTTATTAGAGAGATATTCCCGATATCATCCCGCGTGCGTATAACAATTATTTTAATTACATAACGCTTATCTCATGATAATTAAATTGAAATATCTTTTACATCTCGGTTTGTAAGATTTCAGGCTCGCCGGCCGTTTCTAATCTTGGTCGGGATCATATTATTGCACTCGCCGTTACATAATTCGACATTTCGCGGAAGTAAATTATTTTAACCGCGCGCGGTTTTCAATCGACAACGGCTTTTGTATTTGTCAACGACGCATGAAAAACGAATAATCGAAGATGCCCGAAGAGATTAAAGTGTCGGTAGCCGTATAAAGAAACGTGCCGCCTGTTATTATAAGAACATTCGCTGCTGCTGAAGTGCACAAATATATCTGACGACGTCGACGATGTCTGATGATCGTTCATTCTCAATGTGTTTACCTTACCGAGGAGATTCCCGATGAATTTCATGGCTGCCTATGTTTACTGTTTTGCGCGAGAGTTGCAGAAGAAACATGAGAAACATGAATATTAATAATTAACAAACAAAACTTTGCTGCTCTGTTATTAACAAGTTTTACAAAGTTATACAAAGTGTAAGTTACATAACAAGTAACAGTAGATTATGACTTTTTGTCGTAATGCAAAATGGTACTTTTAATTTTATTATATTTTCTTAAAGCAGGATTATTATTTTCCACTTTTTATTAGATTTTTATATATATATATATATATTGTAAGATTTTAATAATTGTATTTTACTTTAAAATTCTGCTCTGCGTTTTCACCGCTTCAGTAGAGCTACAGGCAAGACCTTCGATGAAAAATAACGAAATCTGGTTTGTCCTTGTGAGATTCTTCGTATTCCTCGAATTTCTTAAGTAGAGAAGCAGCTTTCTATCTTATCCTTGAGCTTTTTGCTTGTGCATCTGTACGCTTGCTGATATTCGAAACTCATTTACGAACCGACAGTTGTCATTTTCTCTTTTCTTGCATTTCAAATATTCAGGCAAAATTATAATAAGAGAATAACAACGGTAATTTTAAAAATCATAAAATTTATTAAAAACCTATTTATAAATAAAATATATATATCACACAAATACGTATACGGAAAGAATGATTTTCTCGAAGAGTCTAAATATTTGGCCAAACATTGTACATTTGAAAATAATTTTGTTGGAAACATTAAAATTATGTAGAATATTTAAGCATGATGATAATATTATAAAAATATTTGATATCCAATTTTGAATATCCCATATAAATATTTTTAAATAACGGAATTATTTTTAAATCTGTATCTAGCCAAATTTTTAGATTATTTCAACAAAATATTCTTTCTGTGCAGATGCAGAAAGTAATTATACATAACACATGATCAAAAATATTAGATAAGAATAATACGATTTTTAAATTTCTCAGTATTCTTCTACATGTTTAATCGTAAAAAAAAAAACCGAAGCTTTTTTGTGCGCTTAGAAATCTTGGAAAAAGTTTTACGTACGGTCTCATCCTTGAGAACTAGGATTTATTATTTTTCCCCGAAATATAACAAACTTTCGATCGAGTTTTTTGTTTTCTCACACACATCGTGACTTGGCGCAAATTGAAAATTGACACGCAATGAGTAACGCCGTCCGTTTGTATGAAAACTCGAGTGCGATCCGCGAGCTTCGGCGATGACTCATGTCGCATCGGAAGTGTGAGAATTACTACAGATTCGATTCCATTCATGCAAACTCGCGGATGCGTAAGGACCTTCATAATAATCAGCACATCCGCGTGCTTGGTCACATCCGCGATTACGTTTTTCGTCGTCTCCGTGGCAACGCGACCGGTGGACCAGATGGGCGGGAGATGACGCAACAACGGGCAACAGCTCGTGTGCATCTTATGCAACGCGAATATTGCAACGAGTTGTTCGTATCTTCGTTATGAACTCTGCAATTTTTCGCGCTTTCCGTTTTGCCTCGTCGAAAATAATTATGTCTTTCAAAGAATTTCGATGTAAAACGCATGTCAATCTCATTATATTATTTACCGTAATTAGCTCGAGTGAGTTATTAATATTTATCTTTAATCCGAAATGAATGAAATATTTATATCTTTAATTCTATATATTGTTTTCGTGTTAAAATTTGTAGTCAATTTCTTTTTTATCTCGATGATCTAGTGATTTATTACAACATCAACGCCAGATGAGGTTTGTGCTTTGTGCTAATTTCCTTTGTTTCTTTGCTAATTAGACTGAGTATGGGAGAGACTCGACTGGTCCACCACTCTTTACTATGTCTTCAAACATCATTATCTTAATTAACATCCGCTTGCGCGCACTGTCAATGAACCGTTGTTTGTGTCATACGGGTCGAAAAATCGCTTCCACTCTTCAGAATTTTTCCACCGTAGAAGCCGCTATTGTTGAAAGGCAGCAAAACGCGCACAATGGTATACGTTTGTTCTGGTGAACAACTCCGAAATGCCTTTAAAAATTGCAACTCAGTCGATTGATTCTCATTGTGACTGCTTCGCTTCGTCAGTATTGTTCTCGTTAACTGTTCATATTGACCATTGCATTGCTTCGTGTGTGCGTGCCTGTGCAGCTATGCAATGCGTACCTTGATGATAAATCACGATGGCGAATGTAATTTGTATTTTTCCATCACGATGCGCGTTAAGGACACGATACATCTCTCATTTAAATCGACGAATTGTGCACGAACATAGGTATCTAAATTTTCATGATTTCGCAATTTTAATTTTTGTAGTACCGTTAATTTACAGAGAACATTTTTTTACATCATAACACATCATAATATTTATTTTTCTTTTTTTTTTATGACACATATATAGATCTTTAGTCTTAATTGTAAAAATTATTTGAGACTGTTTCGAATAAAGTTACAAAACACGCTGTAATATTAATAGATGGAAATAATAAAGAAACTATTCTCAGACTAAGTTTCTTATTTAAGAGATATGTGTCAACTGAGTGTCTAACTGAGTGTCTTGTTATGTTCAAAATGGAATCATCCAAAATGAAATAAGCGGGGAGGGGATGGGATTTTCTTTAAAGTAATAACCAATAACACAATTTTTCAAGAAAAAGAGCGTGAGAACAAGAAAATGTACTAATGTATGACGCAATAATCTGAATGACACTAAATTTTATAATTTATTAAGAGTTTGCAAATAAATTTTAAAGAAGAAAAATCACGACGATACGAATTGAGGCATTTAGTGTAATAAATATTTATCAGGACATTTATTTGGGTATTATTTTTATTGAGAAAATTGTTAAAAACAACTTTTTAAAAATATCAGAATATTTGAAAGTATTTTAAAAGTATAACATTAAAAATCATAAATTATTAATAATTATGAGTCGCAGCGTGTAACAAGCAGGGGCGTATATATTTTTTGTAATTTCATCAATTTTCGTGCATCTAACGGTACGGAATGAACGCATAGACGGGATTGCTGAGATCGATCGCTTGAATTGCTGGTATCTTGCAACAAATGGAAATAATTACACACGACCGCTTTTTATTAGGGACCGGCAAGTTTCTTAACCTCGGCAGACCTTTCACTTCTGTACTCTTTTTTTTTTTTCTTTTTACGCTTTCGGTACGTTGTCCGGCGAAGCACACTTGCACACGACCGTAATTCGTCCCGCACACATGGAACCACGCCGCATTCCGATCTCTCAAACGCGGACCACCAGAGGCCGTCAGACCGGTTTGCGGGAGGGCCACGAAATTGAGAACTGTTGTGACTCAATCGTGTCAATTGTGACGAATTCATACAACGAGAGTTTTCCTATCTCATTTGTACAACGTTTGTGAAACACGAATTTTTATTCTAGATCCAACGATGCAAAAATCTACGTGTACCATTCATCTTCGAACTTTAACTTTTTGCAATCCATTTTTTTTTTAACATTTATTTTTTTTGAGAGATGTGTTTTTTCAAAACACGTCGAATTAATTTATGATGTAGTTGTCATATCATATTTTTACGTTCTTTTTAATGTTTGGACATTAAACATACGTTGTAATATATAATGCATAATAGTTTTTTTTAAAGTCCGCATCTTTCTCATTTATCCTCCGTGACAGGATTAGCTATGAGTGATGATGTCAAGAAGCAAAGTGCAATTTCTAAATATCCAGAAGAAATATAACGAAGTACCCGTACACCCGTACAGACGTACACATATACGCGCGCGCACAACGTCACACCACACAGCTGGCGTCCCAGATAGATTAAGAGCAACCTGTTGCTCGTATATAAGGACATTTAATGTTCGCCGTATTATTACGCATGCGATATACGGTACGTAAAGACGAAACGTACGTCATCGCACAAGATTGCGCATTGTCGATTGAGAAGTTTTCTCCCCTTAAATACGTATCTCGCGGCGTATCTTGTTAAACTCCAACTCGCGGAGACGCGCATACATTAACATTTATGGATTACGACGACTCATTCACGATGCGACTGTGACGGATCGTTTAAGAAATCTATCCTGCGTATATCTTTAGCAGCACATTCGCGATTCAAACGAAAGCACCGTCTAGACTTACGATGCGCCGGAATGCACAACATATGCATCGTTCCGCGCGTTCGCAACGCGCGCTCCGCGCCTACATCCGTCTAAATCTCGGATTTTATCTTCGCGCGAAGAGGATGCGCGGCATGCAAATATTACGCGCTCGCCCTTGCGACGTATCGCGCGGATGCAATCTGAATTTTCTCACGAAGATCCGGTGGACGTGTAGCGACCTGACGAAAAATGAGCCGCGTTTTGCATCGCGTCCACGTGCTACGCACTCCCGCACGTCTTCGGCATATTGACCACAATTGGATATAATGCTGTCGAAGGATCATCCTGTTTAAGAATTTCATTTAAGAAATCTCTAGACGAAGCGATTCGAAAGCTGCCAAATAAATTTCCATCTTTTGTCTACTACATTTCGGTATTTTCACACGGAGAGAACGGTTGTGCTGGCAAATTTAAACATTTGATCTAGATTGCAGATCTGGAAATTTGAATCATTAAAATTATTGTATGTAGGAAACATGTTAAACATGATAATAATACTGCAAAAATTTATTTTCCAGCAATCAATTTATATATCATGCGTAATAATTTTAAGATGCAAAATTATTTTAAAAATAACATTATTTTTGGATTTGTGTCTAGAGATTTTTATTTTTTTCCCGCGGATTATTTTAATACTTTTGAAAAAAAAATTCTTTTATAAAAGAATTCACGAAAACAAGACACATAATGTATTTTATTAACAGCTATTATTGAACATAAAACATAATTTATAAAAAAATATATATTTTTTATTAAATATTCTTTGGAAATAACGCCTAAAACATTTTACGAAATATTTCAACAAGATCATCATTTTAAGAAAAAATAAAATTCAATCGAAAAATTTATGTTATAGACATGACTAGAACGGAAATATCAAGCCTTGACCCGAGGTTTGAAGCCTACAGTTTAGCAATTATTGCGAACGAAAGGACACATTTGTTTTCTATGTATTATTTTCGATCTAGATTTTCGATGTATTACTTTCCTTTCTCGACTTCTTTTGTTATAAGAATTAAGAGAACATTAGGCTTGAAAAATGTTTTAAACATATGACGAGAGTCACCATGAAAGCTTAAGTTAGACGTATATCGGTACATATATTTCAAGCTAAACACGACGTTATAAAATTTGCATTGTTATATGAAAAATGATCAGCATAATTATTGAAGCAAAGAAACTGTTTGTTATTCGAAAAACCTTCATTAATATCATAATTAACAAAAAAAGAAATGAGACAATCTATAAATATATACAAACACAAAATTATTTTTTATTGGAACGTTCGAAATATCAATTCGAAATATTGATAAATTAATTTTTTAAATTGTACATTAAAACAATCATATCTTTTATAAGTTTTATACTTTCAAATAATAATTCAAAGTTCTTCTCTTTTTAATCACTTTCTGGACAATTGCGTTTTTATCTCCAAAAATTATAATTTTCAGCTCCCGAAAATCCAATCCATCCGTTAGATGGTCTCGGCCTAATTAGGTTCTAGACGGTGTGTTTTATGAGTCTTTCTACGATTTATTATTTTCACAAAAGATGGGTAGCGTCTTTCACAGTAAATGTAAGAGAAACGTGCCGTTAGAATTGTCGGCAGTATTGACTTTACTCATTCCCATGTTTATTTGTCATTGTCACCTCGAGGGTACGAGGTAGCTCTAGATATGTGTTCAGTTTGCTTAGACACGAGATAGGTCCCGTTATAAGAGATACCCGTTGCTTCTGAAACACCCGCTACGAGTTCACGAAACCAGGTATCGCGTCGATCGATCGATCGGCTTCGTTTAATCCGCCTGAGTTCGACGCGAGAATGGCGCAGAACAAAGGAAATAAACGGCAGCTTGCCGGTCCGATCGGTCTGAAGTCCAAGTGCGCCGACACAAGGCTTCTCGGCAACGCCTCTCCTTCTCTGCTCTCGTCACTTCTCGTCATTTCCCGACCGAGAGAATATAATGGACGGAGTTCCGGCCGTGACGATTCCAGCTCGCCGGCCCAGACTCCTCGGGTTTCTCGGTTCGCATCCGCACAAAGACAAAAACTCGCTGTAACGAGAGCACGAGAGAAACCTCCCATCTCTCGTCTCGAAGAACTTCTAGATCAAGGGTTCCATGACCTGTATTCACTATGGCTTTGCCATAGATAATGGATATCCGTTTTTCTGTATACGTACATCATTACGAATATTTATTAACAGTTAATTGCATGTTAATAAATCTAGGAATGGAACGTAGACATTATTAGGTAGAGCAATTTTCGACGTCTAATAATTTTTATTTCAAAATTTTTAAAATAAATTCAAAAACAATTGCCAACTATATTTCGTGATTTTTAACGCCTTTGAAACGTAGCGATCTAAAATGAAAACTAAATATTTCCTCTTTGCTAAAGAATCGATAATTAAATTAACGATATCGATTAACTCTTTTTCTTCTGTTTTTCTTATTCAAGAATATTTTGAAGTAATATTTTCCGTTCTGGCTTTAGATCATGTTTCAAGTCTGTTAAAAATTAATTGCTGCACGTAATTCAGCAATAAAAAGCAATTGTTCTTGAATTTATAAAAATTTTAAAATAAAAAAAATTATTAGGCGCCGAAAATTCTGTTTTATTCAGTAATGCCTGTTTTATTTCTCTGTTTAAACATATTCTCGGTTTATAATATACTAATTACTTTATTAATAAATCTATATATTATACCAGCGCTGTGATTTAATTATACAATACATTTACAACAGAGTATTTAATCTATAATTAAATTTTTTTTTAAATATGCAATATCTTAAAAAGAAAATTATCTTTAAGGAAACATATACACCTTTTATGTACATTTAAGAATAAAATTACGAATGATTTAGGGAAAAATGATTCCTCGCGTGTCGATTTATCATCATGAAGGCGTATCGAAGATATATCTTCCATGGAATATGAAATAAGTACTTTGATCTTTTATCGAGTCGATATATTGTCAATTGACCGATAAAAGATACGGAGGACAGTAATGGCTCTTTCGCAAATGACTTTGGTGAGCCGTATCGTAAAACCTGAATACTATCGAACGCGTGATTGTTCGATAGTAGGCCACAGCGCACAATTCCAATCCAGAGGCCTTTAACGACTTAACGATCCGAAACTATTGTCGGGCCGTTTATCGAGACACAACGTACGGTGCAACGTACGGATGTATTTACACGTATATCGCTCGCACGCGCATGTGCTCGACATACGATCGCATGTAACATACACGCGAGTCTTCCGTACGAGGTAGTTAAAAGACTCGGCTGGACGAGATTACGTCATACGCGTGGCGCGCGCAGCTACAAATATCTGCGATCCCGCGACGCACGCGAGAGACATTATTCTACTAATCGCGGCTAAAATATTATACATTTATATGATAAAGAGCCAATTTGGCAGTGTGTCATAATGCGCGTGCGAATGCACGCGACTGTTTGTTCACGTAGACATATAAATATAGCTTTTTGCCGTCCGCTTAATGTACTCCGCGAGCATTTTTGCACGCGAGATAGCGATCTCAGTAATGGCACAAACTTTACGAAACGATCATCGTGTCGCTACAAAATTGCGTTCAATGAAAACGGACGGATTTTGTTCAAGTAGTTAAAAATTTTGCCAGATACAAAGCTGAAGACAATTTTATTGGGCTATCAAAATAATTATGTAAAACGCTCGAGTATGGTAATAATATTGCAAAAATTTTGGATATTTTTGCGATTAATTTGAACATTTTACATAATTATTTTGATGGCTCGACGGAATTAATATAATAAATATAATATTAATTAATATAATAATTAATATATAAAATATTTTCAAGTCGGTATCTAGCCAAATCTTTAAATATTATATTTACACTTTTTGAATTCTTCTTCTCAGTATGAATTGAACAAGAAACCTATTGATTGATTTATCTACGTCTCCAATTATAAAAGTCATCTATTTACAAATGACTAGCTACTTTAGATTTATATTTACTTATTCAGGGACTGATGGGAGGTTTTTCCCACTGTTTGTTAAGTAATTCTCGCTCTACGTCCAGCGGTATTTTGTAACGTGCTTGACGCCTGTTCTCCAGATCCTCTGCCAAGCTTTGAAGGAGCTCCTTGAATACGTAATTGTCCAGATTCTTAGCGATGTAATAAAGAAACAGCCAGTCACCGAAGTAGTATTCGTGAGTAACCTTGAGTACGTTCCATGGATTGTACTTTCCAGGGCAGGCCATGGAAAACACAAATCTGTTGAATGCTGTACTTCTGGAAGTGAAAAATCTCAATGAAAATCGCTCGTTCATCATGATCTGTCATTAAAGAATCCTTATCGCGAAGTTGATTGACGTCACATCGCTGATATAGCTGTGTTCCTTTTCTATTTGCTATTTTTAAATGCATACTTCCTTAAATCTCGCTGATGTATATTATCTAGCTAAGATCCTTACAAACACGTAATTGTATTGTGAAACAATGATAATGATATTACATTTTAATAGGAATTTTTTCTGATAATATTATAAATTAATTTATTATGAATTAATATTATTATGAATTTTTATGGTATGTTGAATATTAAAGAATATTCTGAATAAATAAAAGTAAAAATAAATCTTTCCGAATGAGATACAAAGAGACGAATATTTTACGCTGGTAATAATCAGAAAAAAATCATAAGTGCGAGGTGTAAAGATAATTTCTGCGTGGAAATAATGCATGATGTACGATGCTCGTAAATTTGTCAAACGGAAATTTCCAGAAGAAAAAGGAACGATTACGGCGTAAATTTAAAACCACAAAACGTGACTGACAAGACAAGACTGACGGCGAATAGATACGCGGAGACGAAAGTTTAGCAACCTTGAATGAAGGATCATGGTCAGTAATCTCCAAACCAATCCCAAACCGGTTATCACTGCGAGCACGACGAACCAGAACCAAAGGGCCGTATAGATCTTTTCGTTAATGATATTCAGTGCCATCACACAAAGCGCATCGTGCTTTTGTATGCTACCAGAAGGGCCGTATTTGTGAAAAATGCATTTGGTTACCTAAAAGTATTGATTGCATTCAGGAATGGAGTGCGTTAAATAAAATATTAATCATTACTACTCAAAATTTGTTAATAGTTAAAACTTTTACCGTTGATAAAAATTAATAATCAGAGAAATTTTGAATAATTAATAAGTCACTTGACAAGAAGATCGCGTTTCAAAACCGGCTTTCCAAATGTCATCAAGTCGCATTAATTGACATCAAATTATAATAATTCAATAATGCAATATTTGAGTTATTTCGATACTAATGTAATATATTAATAATTTAAACATAATTGATATTATTAGCAGTAATTAGCAATTTTTAATTACTTCATTTTTATTCATTTAGTTATATCGTTGCAGAATATATAAAGGTGGATAACATTTATGCGGAATTGTACCTTCGGAAATACTACGTCGAGTGGGTTTATTTTATCTCGAGACGCTGGCTCGGAGAGTAACCGGCCGAGACCCAGGAAGGCACCTCCGAGAAACCAGTCGGTCAAGTAAATTTGCATGATGACGTTCACGAAATTCAGGCACTCGCAGAAAGTCAAGGTGTATGCCCACGGACGATTCAAGTGCAAGCGATTTATAAAACCGGTGCGAATCTGTTGTATTCTCTCGTCGCGCTCCTTTTTCGACGGCACCTTCATATCGTCATTTACCTTGAGCTCCGTTTCGCTTAGTGACAAAGATGCCATGTGCAATCCCGATACCAGCATGGCTAATCGACCACCTGAAATTAAATAATTTGCAAGAAGTCGTGAACAATAACGATGCCGAATATTCCGAGTACTGCGTTTTCAAATTCTCGATATAAATATCGGAAAACATCCTATATCGAGTTTCGCCGTATAGATTTTACGTTATTGCTCGCCGGCAGATTACAAAGTAATCTTGCAAATAGCGTAATGCTACGTTGTAAGTGGGACAGTGTATGCAGGTGTTATATGATTAGATTATGACGGCGAGGAAAGATTAATGATGATTAGCTCGCCGCTTGAGATAAACGCGCACGGTTATAAACGTCGCGTTAAACGTCAACGGTTATGCGAGACGCATTGGTAACGACCTTCCATTTTCCGCCATATGTAGTGCGGCAAGTAAAAGAGGAGCGCTTGGAAGAACAAAACGAAGGGCACCCATTGGTAATAAGCGTGGTGTATGATGGCGTCGTCTTTGGAAACTGGCCCGACCCCAAGATGCGGTAAATCGCCGTCCAGTACCGCGGTAGCATTCAGATGCTTTACCTGAGGAACAACTTAGTTCTAATAATAGGGATTATAAAAAATATAATTATAAATATAATTATAAATAAATAATAGGGATTATATCGTTTATAAAAAAGTAATCGCTCTTTGGCCTTCGAATTATTACAAAGCGCTTAACAGCGTTCAGAAAGAGAAGAAATATATTCTGTGATGTACGAAAAAGTTTTAATATATCTAAAATGAATAAATATAATTCACATTCGGTGTTTTATTTATCGATAAAAAGCATTTGATACTACTTATTTTTTTAATTATATTATTTTTTGTTTCCGTGAGCTTGAAGCTTGTTTTAAAACACTTGACATTGTATCTTGTGATACGCTTTAAAATGTATTCATATTTATTGATAGTTGGTGGATATGGCTGTTTGAATTTATTTCATTTAAAAAAATCTAGCAACCAAGATCCTGCTTGCCAAAAAATAGTTATGTTTCTCATTGTAGTTTGTTAACATGTACTTGTTAACATGTACTATATGACTTATACCTATATGTATTATCATATTTATTGGATTTCAAATATTCAGATATTTATGCTATCAAAAATTAATGATTGTAAATATTTGAAATAATTTGAAGTCGTAAAAGATTTTAGATCAGACACTGCAGGATATGATGTGTAAAAATTTTGAAAGCCTCAAACTAGCGAGATAGAAGCAAAGGGTAATACATTTAAAAAAATAATTGCATCAATTGTTATTACTTGTTAAATAAAGTACTGAAACAAGATTTAGATTTATATTTATTTATTCTAAATATACTGAAATTTTTTTCGTGTACCAGAATATATTTGTCATTCTGTAATTTCTAATATGGCAGATTTTTTTTTAAATCTATCTATCGAATCCCGTATTTTAATTGCAATTATTGTTACACATGTAATAAATAAATCCATTTTAATAATAATAAGAAATTATTTATTTCCATCAGATTTTAGACTTACCACGGTGTATGTGGACATAAAAAAGCAAAAGGTTTCGATGACATGAGATGATACACCAGTGTCGGCAATACACCTTTTTAAAATAAAAAAAAAGAAATACATTTTAGAAAGTAATGTTTTTCAAATTTAATATTATTATAAATAATTTAATACAATAAAAAATCATGCAACTATTACGTGTATACCTTATGTGTTCCCCGATAAATTGTCGAGAAGTGACCAGAATTGATGCAACGAGAAGTATTAAAAATGTAGCTCTGTAATGTAATCTGAAAACTAAGCACAACCACACATTTTTCTTTTTTTATCCAATATTAGATATATAACTTTTTTAAATAAGCGTATTACGTAAAAGCGATAAGTAATCGCTTTAATTAAATTTATGCTATAATTAGTAACGTAGATAGTGATAAGTAATTTTTTTCAATCGTATATCGTTTTCAATCGCGCTAAATATAAATATGAAATATGAATTCGAAGATGTATATTACCGATATTGTCAATGGCTACCGAATTCTGATTGACTTTGAATTTGACATGGTCTTTCAAGACCGATAAGGCGGCGAACACTGTACCAGATGCCATCGATAATCGTTCACGGCTTTATTAAAAGCAAAGATTAACACGTTCCTGTTTACGCTTTCGGTCGAGCACAATTAATTTACGAAATTACGAAATTACTCGCGAATTTAGGTCATGCTATTAATATACAGCTTAACGAACGTTGTGAACGTTTATGATCGTTGTAATATCGAGGACTCCGTGTCCAGATCGCGAAGACGCACGACACTTTATAATCCAGACAGAATACTGATCTGAAACGAACTGAAAACTTAAAAGCAATAAATCTCGTGAGCGTTATCAGACCGATTGCGTAGTACCCCAGGCATTCTACAAAACTTGGTATTATCGAGAGAGCCGGTTATTATTGTTAAGACTTTCCATTCGTTTAGATAAGAGCAGATAGCGATAGAAGTTAGATGATTCCAAAGTCCTCAGAAACTGAAGTAATGAGTAATGAGTCTGTAATACTGATATTGATTTTGACGACAATCCTTTGTGCCGAGAGAGCATAGATGAGACATCGACCTATGACCCGTTATTGCGCGGTCTATCACCGCGAAGAAGAACACTCTTGAGCATAATTGTGAATAATTGAATAATAAATTTCAACAGGAAAAGTACTTGAGAAATATCTTTTTTAAGACGACACCTTTCTTCGTGGAATTGAGAGTGACGCGACGAGTTGCAGCAGTTGAATTGGAATAAATTGTGCAAAATGCGAAATTTTATTAATTAATATTTATTAATTTCGGAAAGGCACATCTTATATTCTTGGCACGTTGATTATGAATAATCTCATAAATATTAAAAACGTTTTGATAATTGAAAAATATTAAAACGTTTTGATGTGCAAGTCTAAAATTCTTTCTAATGCACGCTATAAAAAAAAGTATTAGAAAGTATAAGATTTTTTAACAAGATTTAAAGACAATATTTGCATAATAACTTGTGAAATATCAGTTGTAAAATATTAAGACTAGATTTATTTGCAAATCGGTAACACAATGAATATATATATATATATTAATCAGATTTCTTATATTTATTTTTTTTAAATAAAGGCTAGGTTTACTTTCATTAAATAAATAAAGTGTGAAGATACGATTAAAAAATTACAGATGATTTCTTCCTATATAAGTTGTTTATCAGTATAATCAAAAAAGCATACATAATAATTATTCTGAAAACCTCCATAAACACGCTAGACGCAAAATATGATGCATTAATATTCATTCGACCTATAATGAGTTCTCGCAAGACAGTGAATCGCTCGCAAATTACAGGTAAGTGCCGACAGGAACGGATCGTCACGTTTTAAAATGTGAAAGAACGCTCTAATTTTACGCAACCTCCATTTGAAAAATTGATGAACATTTCCGAATAAATTTATCCTGTAAGATTTTTTTGACAATCGAATCATCTAGAACAGTAATTTATGTTATATAAAACAAAATAAATAAAATAAAAAATTTGTACAGATAGAGTCTTCGTGTGATCTCTGTTTATTGTCACTAGAAATTTGTCAAAAATGTTTATTATAGCATACAGAGATATATGTGTTATAACGACATTGCTAAATAAGTCGCTAAACAAACTCATTAAGACCTTTCTTCAATTTGCAGTAATTTGTACAGATACGCTAATTCTCGCAAATGCATCTCTATATATACATATAGAAAAAACAGTTTTGTTGGAGATAGAATTTGAAAATTCATTTTGTTTGGTCATCAAAATATAATTATATAAGACGTTCAATTAGTTAGATTATAAAAAGATTTTGCAGTATTATTATCATGTTTAAACGTTCTATATAATAATTTTAATAGCCCAATAAAATTATCTTTCGGATCTGATCAAATTTTTAAATTCTACGACAAAATTATTCTTTCTGTGTACAAGGAAAGACATTTCACCATATATGTTACATAGCAATAACGCTTTTCACATAGCTTTGTCGCCGCGAAGAGATCATTTTTTTCAAGTCTGCATTCTTTCGACATTAGAAATCTCTTACGCAAATTTATTTTAATACTGGAAATTACTAATTTTTATATTTATTTATTAAAAACACTGTTGTTCAATGCTTTCAATACTCAAAATAATTGATCTCTCATCTTGCAGTATTAAATTTCTATAAGGGAAGAAGCTGATAGTAGAGGGACCCATTCTAGACCCATCCAGTTTCCACGCGCCGATCCGCTCCTGGATGGATTCGGAATCGGTGCCGCGTACGGGCAGGCAGGCATCATAGCTGGCCGAGGCGAACGATGGAGACCAACTGTGGCGCTCGGTTGCCGTACAACGTAGACGCTGGAGCGTCGACGTGGACGGGCGAGGACAGACCCTTTCTTTCGAGGACTCGTTCGTTCTGCCGGCGGCTTGACTCGGGCCGGGGCCAATGGCCGGTCAAAGTCCCACCTTCGACGTTCGCCAGCTCTGCCCCCCTCGTCCTCCTCGCGCGGCCGCCTCGTGCTCTTTGCCGATGTAGCGGTCACCCTTGGCGGTCGTCCTCCATAGCTCGCCGTCCCCTATGGCCCCCTCCCCCCCCCCTCTCCCGAACTTTTTGCGCGCGATGCTCATGAAGGGAGCCGTCAAATCGGAACGACGGTGAAGCTCGCCGGTGATCCATCGTGCACGGGCACTGTCTGATTGCTCGAGACTCCGACCATAGTCGTTTCAGATTAAATCCTACCTTCCCGATTGATCGAAATTGATCGAACATGCACAATGAAAGGGAGACTGATTTGTAAGACAAATAAGCGTTATCAACATAAAATCGAGGAAAATTTTTCTTCCAAAGGATAAAAGAGAAGAATGACGTTTTGATGACAATCCTTTCCCGCTTCCCGGAAGCTTTCTCTGCACGATGCCTCCGTTTTAGAGATGACATTCGACATTCTCGGAACGGAACTGGTGAATCGGGATTTATTCTGCCGCGATACGGCTCGCTTTGGGAACGACAGGAATTCCAATGCGACTTCTGAGCGCGATTATAAATGAGCTCCCGGATTAGCAACTGACACCTTGTACAAGCTCAAGAATATGTAACGTGTCCAATCGGCACGTACGACTCGAGTTGTCTTTATTCATATCGTATCGCGTATAGATATTGTTTCCTTTCTAGGATTCGCTTGTTAATAGCTAAATTTGCAACTCGAGCTCGATATATATATATATATATTAAATAAACGAGAGTATTCACAGAGACTTGAAAGAAACAATCTCTTAATTTCAGTTTTAATTGACAATTACAATGCGGCGGATGGTTACTTATGGTTCTCATAAATTACGAGAATCAATGATTTATTTTTTCCTGTCCTTTCAGTCTAGAATGATCCCTCTACATGGAACGCAGGTCTGCCTTTGTGAACGAATATTAATTTTTTTACGTCGATATTTTTTATTTATTTATTTGTTTATCGATATATGGCATGTATGTAGTATCGCGTTTCAGAATCATAAATTAAAATTAGAATAAAACAAAGTGAAAAATTAAAAGAAAAACGCGGGATCTTTTTGTGCGATTGTTTATATTGTAAAATTAAAAACAACGATCATAAATATAATAATGTGTAATATTATATTTATAATCACTGTCTTTAATTCTCAGCTTTCATGCTCCTGATTCTTCACCTTGTTTTAAAAAAAAAAAACATACAAGCTGTTTGTTATATGATTATTAAAATTAGAATCATTTCATACATTGTATTTTCTTCGTCTTAGTTCTTAACTAGACTTCTTAATTAATATCTCCGACGGCCGAGCGAGCAAATCGTGAATGAGAGCGAACGCACATTTAAGCCGCTTGAGATTAATTTATTGTGCTATTTCTGTCCACTACTTCTCTTTGTCTCTTTGAATTTAGATCTTCGTTGTTTACTCGTATCACGTTCTGCCGCTGCATACGAGGATATATTAATTCATCAAAGAAATAGCGGATTTGTGCTCGGGGCCCCGAATAACGTGCAATCCTCAACTCTCGAGGCTATTCTCCCCTCAAATTTTGCAATCGTCAGCTATTTGCGGGTACACGTATGTATGTGTATATTTGTGTGCACGTCCGAATAACACAGCGATAAATATCACGATAATAATTTACGAGGCAACGCGTTTAAATAATATTTTTCTAACCCGTGAATCCCGTTCTACTCGGGATCTTACAAGTTTTCTCTCTACTCAGACTCCACCAACGAGTTTTCTCCTTAAGGAAATTCTGAGTATCTCCCCACTAAAATAATCCTCAAAGGAATTCTAAAGGTATTTTTTTTTTTTAATTCTTCACCAGTGGCGCTTACTCACGTCTTTCAAAGAGACGAGCTAACTCGAGCTCACGTTCCTGCCCGATTCCGAAAATGCTGCTCGTCCAACCGGTCACGTTACACGTGCGATATAACGTGACCGCAACCGTTTTATTATTCCGATCTAGTCGTTAACGTCAGATTACTGTCTCCTCGCCACGGCATGCGAATCGGCGCGACGAATCGTCATAGAGATGAACGTTTCCTTCAGGATAAATAGAGTCCGGCACGTGGAGTCAGGCTGCGTGTAACGAGCGCGTTATTGTATAACGCAGCTTTCTAATTTATTGGATGTCATTATGTGAATGCCCCTTTCATAAACGCCCATCAAGGTAATGCGTATGACGTCACGCCGTATAATTGATATGCAAAGTCGCCAATGGGCAAGCTTATTAAAATACAATATTATAGTAGATGCTTATCAACAAAAATAGGAAGGTCGAAATTATAAAAAATTTAAAAAGGGTGAAATATTTAATACCAATACATTGTATTATATATTTGACTCTAATGATTTAATGTAATGTATTGCTTCCACAAGACAATTATTGATTCTTATTCAAACGGTCTTCTGTGCATTTAATTAGTATTTATTAAATTAAAATTATATATATATATATGTGTGTGTGTGTG